ACAGCTTATTTAAAGCATTGATCATTGTTTATAAATCACAGGGTTCATGCATATCATTTAAAGGCCTGAAATTGATATGCTCATGCATCATACTGAAGGGTTTAGAAAAAAACTATAAATGATCATAGTTTTGTGAGTCCACTACTGTTGTTGTTTTTTTTAACATGAGAAAGCAAGAAAGAAGGAAAGACAGATAGCAAGAAAGAACGCTGTATTTTGGTGATGCAAGTTAACTTTCCTAGCTTTGAATGCATCATTTAAATCATCTTAACGTACCTCGAGAAATAAGGAAACAACTAAACTGTATTCATGAATATATGCACCTGTAAAAACAAGTGAAAATCAAAGAGGAAGGAAATATGAGAACAGGTGTCATAAGGGCAGTTAACAATGAGAGATTCAATATTGCTGTCAAGCCGCATTTTCTACTCGTGTCGGATAAGCATCATGTACGTCAGGCACGTTTAGATGAATTACGTCTGTGTGTAACAAGTCATGGCACACTGAGTGTTTCAGATAATCAAGTCATGAGTTTGAGATGTTCTTGATCTGTCGTGATTAGGATATTAATCTGCCCACACAAATCTTAGGCCAGGTGAAGGTTTGATCTGATGATAAAATGAGAACATTAGACTTATTATCTAACAACAACTCAGAGCTTTGTGAAGTTAACAGGTTAAGGATGGGTTGATGATAAAGTTAGATTAAAGGGTTGAAGATAAAGTTTATGCATCGTTTACTCCGTACAAGAACAATTTGTGAGTTGTCAAATGGATTAGAATGGCAATAAGGGATAAATAAATAAGTGATATCATTTAAGGCATTCAAAAAATAATAGAAACTACATGAAGTGAAGAATAAAGATCTTATATAATTGTCTCTAAATAGGTCACTGAACACAAAACATGGTCTTATGGTAGCATGCACTCACAATGCAATCTTGAACAAGCTGATTCTGTATTTCCAGGTCAGTACGATGGAGCAGGACGGCCCGCAGGAGAAGAGATCAGAACAGGGAGAGGAGATGACAGAGGAGAGCTTCCTCAAAGACCTCTACCTCTTTATGAAACAAAGAGACACTCCGATTGAGAGAATACCTCATCTAGGCTTCAAACAGAGTGAGTGAGAAAGACAAATCAGAATCAGAATCAGAATCAGAAGAGCTTTATTACCAAGTATGTTTACACACACAAGGAATTTGACTTGACGACAGGCGGAGCTCAGCGTCCTTGCTGCCATTTGCGGCACCATGCTGGTATATCATGAATGTATGAATGTATATCATGAATGAATGAATGTATGTCTGAAAGAAATTATTTCAGGGTATTAACATATACTTTTTTCCTTTTCCTTTTCAGTCGATATGTTCCTAACGTACAAGACAGTAAAGGAGCTAGGAGGCTATCAACAGGTAAAAAGACATTTACTGCGCACTGACCACAAAATAGTTTTTGACTATACTTCCTGTCGGCATCTTCTTATATGTTTTTGATAGCATATTTTGACTGGCATTAAGATTAGTAACCTCAGATTACTGCCAAGAAAAATATTTTTTGTCACCAAAAATATACACATCTTGTGTGCGTGATTTCCAGGTTACTGCACAGCAGTTGTGGAAAAAAGTTTACAACATGCTTGGAGGAAATCCGCGCAGCACTAGTGCAGCCACCTGCACTCGCAGACATTATGAAAAGTAAGCACATGTAACCCTAAACAGCAGCTGCTCGCATATAATAAAACAAACATGACTAATTATTTAAATACATTTTAGTCACAAAGCTCTTTTTGTCCAACCAGGCTGCTTCTTCCTTACGAGTGTCACCAAAATGGATACAGGGACGATATTGTCTTCAGGACCCCTCGATCGCAAAAACGCTTCCACCCCAGCAGTTACAGCGACTTTGAGCACGAATACCCCAGGAATGGTAAACATGCAGATTTCCGCCACCTCCCGGCATTCCCTCAGGTATGGCATCTTAAAAACAGAACAAATACTCTTAAAGACATAAACTCTCGGAAAAAAGGTACAAAAGCTGTCACTAAGGTGGTACCTTTTCGAAAGGTACAAATATGTGACCCTGGACCACAAAACCAGTCTTAAGTCGCTGGGGTATATTTGTAGCAATAGCCAAAAATACATTGTGTGGGTCAAAATTATTGATTTTTCTTTTATGCCAAAAATCATTAGGATATTAAGTAAAGATCATGTTCCATGAAGATATTTTGTAAATTTCCTACTGTAAATATATTAAAACTTTTCACTTATTTTTGATTAGTAATATGCATTGCTGAGAACTTCATTTGGACAACTTTAAAGGCGATTTTCTCAATATTTTGATTTTTTTTTGCACCCTCAGATTCCAGATTTTCATATAGTTGTATCTCGGCCAAATATTGTACTATCCTAACAAACCATACATCAATGGAAAGCTTATTTATTCAGCTTTCAGATGATCTATAAATCTCAATTTCGAGAAATTGACCCTTATGACTGGTTTTGTGGTCCAGGGTCACATATGTACTCTGAGGGTCCTAATATGCACCTTTAAGGTACTTCTACGCACTTTTTAGGGGTAAAAAGGTATACCTTTAGAAAGGTTACCACCCCAGTGACATCTTTTGTATCTTTTTTTTTTGAGAGTGTAGTAGAAATGCAAACTACAAAGTTTTACCAGAGTATTGAATTAATTGAATTCTACTCCTCCTTCCCTCTCAAGCCCTCTCAGAACATGTTTACAGAGCATCAGAGACAGATGTTTAGCATGCCTTTGAACATTGCTCCATACTTCCCACACGGCAGTACATCTCTACCCAATTATATGGCTCTTCGAGAATCAACACTGCCTCAACTGAGCCTCAGCCCTTCTCAAGACCTTACCCGACCACCTGCTTCGTATTTGGCCACGTCCTCTGTGGAGGTTCAGAGCTGCAACCAGTCACTTGATAGGCTACGCCACCTGGCTAAAGAGTACAAGTCATCAGCCGGTTGGGAGGAACCACTCAACCTCAGCTGGAAAGAAAACAGACACGAGACACTGATTGACACGCCGTCATCTTTCAGCCCACCTTCAAAAAAGCCCAAGTTCCTCAACGAAGCCTCACCTCTTTACCCTCCAAGGGATTTGATGTCAGAAGAAGGTGCAGAAAAGGGGGAAACAGTGGACAGAACTTCCATGGGAGAAGGAGGTGCAGGATCTGTCCGAGCAGGACCGAGTCCGGTGACGGCTGACATCATTGATCTCACTTCCTCCTCCACAGCCAATCCAGTCCCACGTAGGGCAAGCCCTCCTTCAGTGAACCTCTTCAACCGTAGACTGAACTACTCCGAAGCATTCGCTTTGAAAGCACGGAAGCGAGACCTGCATGCGGACTGGTTGAAGGAAGAATCTTTTGGTGCACCTACATCTAAGTTAGGGATCCTAAACCGAAGCAATCCTCTTGGACACCCACCCGTAGATCCGAGCGGCAATATGGAGATTCAGATTCCTCTAAAGCTTCTACAGGAGTTGATTAGGAGAGGACTGCTTTCCAACCCGGCATTTACGGCAAACAGCCCTGTGTCTCAAGACCCAACCAAAGCTGAAGCACAACCCGAGCACAAGTTCCACATTCAATCACGTTCAGAAACATTCGAGAGCTCCACCACAAGTGAGGAACCGACCAATTTGAGTTTGAAAAGAAACCTTTCTGAATCTAACCCTCAAGAAAATGGTATGAGGAAGCTCCGATTCTTTGGTGGCAATGGCATCCCAGCAGAATCAAAGCTTCAGATGATCAATTCTTTTCATGTAAACAACTCTCTTAAGTTCTCTCTGGCAAGTGATGCACCAAGATCATCTCAACCTAAACAGGCACAAGTTCCTACAACAAAGAACCAAGAGAGCATGATTCCCAGACCCCCCAGTTACAGTGAAGACACTCCACTCTCTTTGACAATGAAGCCTGGAAGGAAGTCAGAGAAAGTGATGGGAACATCTAACAGTGTGGCAAAGGAAATCTCCACTTCCCCACCTTTGATGCAGGTGACGTCAGACAACCTCAAACTCCTTCTGGCAAGCCTGCCCTATAGACTGGAAAGGGGGCAGACATTTTGAAAATTTGCACACCTGACAAACTCATCACCTCGGTCAATGTTGCAATCTTGGCAGATCAGCCTCTTGCGTTGCATTACTGAAGGACTTCTGAAAAGATGAACTGAAAAGAGAAATGTTGAGGATATACAACTGTAGCATGAAAGCACTGTCCACTCTCAGTCAACATGTTAAATTAGACATGACAGATGCTTTTCACTGATGAACCTTTTGTATAATATGCATATCATTTTGAAAAGGGTCAGCTTGGGAAAACACGGTTGTTTGCTTTTTAGTCTATAAATCCAATTGAATTGCGAGACTTTAAATAAGCAAAGGTACATTTTTGTTAACTCAGTTTATGATGAAGCACTTATACTTTGGCAACAAAGCATAGACCTTTTTTGTAATTATTTTTTATTAAAATGTAAACATGTAAAATGGCTATATAAGCATGATCATTTTGTTACATTATTTTACAATTCTTCATATTTCAACAATTTTTTTTTTTACACAATAGTTCTTAATTTACATTTACATTTGCAAACTCACAATGTCTTTAAAAAATTTAGATTAATGATTTTGATTCTTTCCAACTCCATAACAAATATATCAATATATATCATATACAGTATGTACTATATTTTGCCTTCTTTTGTACTAAATATGAAGCCTTGACATACAGTACCTTCGAATTTATAAGAATATGTTAGGTATCACATACACGTTGTTTTATGGCTGCACAGGAACCTACTGGAATATCATGTTAAGATCTACTCTTGACACTTGCAAGACTTCAAGACGCTACGATGAAATATGAAAAAAAAATGCTTTGGTTTAAAATTGTTAATTCGTACTGTGGACACATAAGCAATAAAACAAACACACAGCATGTACACGCATTGCAATTACACACCCATAAACAAGAAGTGATGGGGATTTCCAATCGTTCATTTTATTATCATGGTACTATTAACACATAATTGTCCTATAAATAATGAAACAACAGATTTGTACCTATATTCCAACTACAGTCTGTTCAGAAAGAGCAGGAACAAAGATTCCATGAAGCAATGTGACATCTTTTTCATGGACACAATGGTGGCAGGTGGCTTCTCCTTGGATTTGAACCTACAACCTTTGGGTTACCACCAGCCAAATTATTAACCAACGAGTCACATCACCTCATATTACATAAAAGAATAATACTTTTGGTAGTACTGCTGAATTATTAATATAAACAGCCTTAACCTCTAAGACAATTGTTAAAAGGGTTACAAATCCTACAATAAGACAAATCAGTCAACAATTTTAGCTTGCTATTCAAAACAATGTTCTCAGAAAGGAACTGTATCAGTGAACATATTTAATCAATGCATTCCATTTATTATGTAATACAAATTACAGTAAGTCAAGATGCTGTAGGGCCTACCCTTCCAGCTATCACTGACAACTTGACACTGATCTTGATAGATCTAAAATTAAAATTCAGGTAAGGTTTAGAGATGAGGGTTATATTCATACCGATTTGAAATGGTGTTGGTTGGTTGGCTGTTTGACTGATTTGTCTTAAGAGAAGATAAGGATCATTTGAATTTAATATCGATTTTAAATCATTTAAAGGTTTGGCATGAAACTTGAGTTGCTCAATTTGTACCACTTGAGGTGGTACAATAATTACTATGACTGAAAAAACAACAAAAACAAAAACAAACTGTCAAACTCTTGTCATGCAGGATTTCCATAGCTTGTAGCAAGTAAAAAATGTTCCAGTCAATTTTAAAGGTGAGTGATTTAAATCCAGTGACAGTGTAATGGAAGCCCTGATCCTCCACAGGATCAAGTTACACTGCCAATACAGGCTTGTAGAATCAAACATAAAGAGCCAGACCTTTACCGAGCATTGAAAAAGAGATTTGCCCTAAAAAAAAAAGAGAGAAAATACCATGCTGTACATGCATATGCATAAGCTGATATACTTTTTAATAGATTTTGATACATGTTTTTCAGTCCTTAACAACTGTATACTGGGAATTTACTAAACGGCTCTTTGGAATGCTACCTGATCAATTTACCTTTCCATAATTACACTAAACTGTATAATTAGCTGTTGTTCCTGGCAAACAAATTCCTACGCAGGTGTGCTGGTTTATTGTCTCTTGTAACACTATTAATTCTCACATGATTTTAAGTCAAAGTTTCTTTATTATTATACATTTATTTATATGGTAAGTAGCTAAAAAGTGGGAAACTGTCTTGTAATATTAGGGTCAATTTTTTGATAATGACAATCAGAGTTTTAAGCCAATACGGTATTTTGTACATGGGTGTGCATGTTGGATTTAGCAAACAAATATGAAAAAAAAATCTAAATTTCATTTTTCCCAAAAAAAGATTTGTGTGTGCTGTAATATACTGGGTGTGTTGTGAGCTGTGCACAAAACAGGTTTTTTCTTTAGTTTTCTTGTTCGATCCTTCAGTAACTGAAACAAAGAAGCAGATGGAGAGGAGTGTGAGCAAACAAATGAATTACAAACATGTTTTGATTCTACTGTGGTGTGGCACATTTTTATGTCTTTAATTCTGGGAAAGTCTAAACTGGTAGAGTGACTCTGTGAGACTGTGGAATTGTAGCCACAAATCATATATAAAAAAAATTCATGTAATCTATGGCATTCGCATGTATATGTGCATGTTCGTGCCTCCAAAACTATGAATACATTCTAATGCATAAAATGTCTTAAAATATAATGCAACTTTTTTCTTTGAGTGTGCTTTGATGATGACGTGTATCCAAAACTCGTTTGTAATCTGCACATAAAGTCAATGGAGAATGAATCACGCACAGTGCAGTATTAAAACATGATTTAAGCAACAAATCAATTAATGCAATCAGCCTCAAGCCAGACTCCACAGAGTAATTAAAGTTCAGTTACAGAGAATGAATGTTTGCTCACAAAACTATACACCACAGTTATCAACAGGTTTGGCCCATCCTAAGCAATATAATCAACAGGCAATTTATGACTTTTTTTGCACTGCTGGGCAGCATGTTTTTTTCATGCTGTCTTTCATAGTCAAAACTGAGTAAATTAAATTCTCTGACAAAGATTGACTAATTCATTGTTTTTGCAGATTAACAGCTTTTGTAATTTGGATAAAAGAGCATTAAAGTCAAGATTAAATCAAACTTGACCCTGTTTACTTTCTTAATAAAAGTTCCTGACATTATGAATGATTTTTTTAGTGCAATTTATTGCAATAATTTGTTTTTGCAATTTTTTATTAAAATGTAAAAACTTTCTCTCAAATGACTTATTGATCAAGTTAACCACCAGCCATTAGCTATTTAGGCACTATTTCTAGAAAACTCACATTCAACCTGCTTCCATTCTGTAATGTAACATCCTTTAAAGGGGTCCTATTATGCTTTTTCACTTTTTCAACTTTAGTTAATTCTTGGTGGATAAAAGTCCCACTCTGCATTTTTTCTTGTTGAATATCCTGTTTCACTTATGGGGGAAAAATCATATTATGGAAGTAAATTGGATTACATGTTTGGTTCATGTTGACCATTTGCAGTACAGGCCAGTACAGGCCACTGAAGTCAGCATAATTAGTGACTAGTTGTTCACAGTTGTAACTGTAACAGTTCACTGGTTGTGTAACAATTGTAGGCCTAGTTAAAGTTGCAATTTCACAAGGGAGATTTTTTTACTGTAAATTTAAAAAAAACATGTTAACGTTAATTTATTTGAAATAGAAATCTTATGTAACATTATAAAATGCCTCTGTCAAAAAAAAAAAAACTGATAAAATGTGCTTTTCGTGGCTCAGAAACATTCATAACAACTCCAAACTCAGATCAAGAACGCTCAACACGATGACCAAAAAATACAAGGTCATGTTATATTTATCTGCAACTTCCTCATACTACAGCACATGCATGCTAACACAGCTTTTCCGGGTGGACTGAGGCACATGTGTAGACATGTGTAGAAACACCCACACCCACACCCACACACAACCACAAACACCCACACACTGCATATAGTAATTAACAGATACTGGCAGGTGGTGGCCGTGGGAATGTGACCCATCTACACCAGCAGCCAGCCGTTCTCGGCAATTCCACTCCGGCTTCTCGGTCTACCCTTAAGGTAAAATGACTGGCAATAGTATGACAGGAGCAAACTGGCACAAGGCAACTACAGACTGCTGTGGGCACAATGGAAATACAGAGTTCTGGCATGAAACTCTAGATGGCACAGTCCAATAGGTCTAGCTCAAGCTGACCGACCAAATACATTAACATTGTCATGTACATTATCATGCCAATCCCTCAGAGAGTTGTCATGACAGAACTCTGTTCATCAGGTTGTGTTTGTGTCAGATGTGAAAAAGGAAACTAATACACGCAAGTCCATGATCATTAGGGGAAATGCTTTTTTTCTTCTTTTTTCATTGCTAATTAATTATATTATCAGCAGAAAATTTCAGTTGAACCGAAAAATAAACATGAATTTGGGAATGTTTTAGAATCTGGTATGTCCTTCTTTTGATTTACTAGCAGCACTAACATGAACATGTAAAACCAGACAGTCAAACCTCTTTCGTTCAATCTGTCTTTCTCGGTTACTAATCTTTTATTAGTAACCTAGAAATAATGCACAATGCAAATAATGAATGTCCTAATCATTTGATGCGGATACGCTGTTTTCGTTCAGATCAAATCACAACAACGTAGGAAACAGATCCGGCGTGACGCAGCTGACACAGAACAGCATACGCTGTTTACGTCCAGCTGATATTCTCCAAAATGGCGCTACAGGGTGACGCGGAGGAGACGAATTGTTGAATAAAGTAGTTTTTTTTTCTTTTGCGCACAAAAAGTATTCTCGTAGCTTCATATAATTGAGGTTGAACCACTGATGTCACATGGATTATTTTACAGATCTCCTTGCTACGTCTCTGGACTTGGGAACATTTCAGTTGTGTTGATGTCTATGCAGGGTCAGACAGCTCTCAGATTCCATCAAAAATATCTTAATTTGTGTTCCGAAGATGAATGAAGGTCTTACAGGTTTGAAACGACATGAGGGTGAGTAATTAATGACAGAATTTTCATTTTTGGGTGAACTAACCCTTTAATGTCTGCACTTCTCTGCTACAAGAACGCACATAATCCCAAGCTCTTCGCTAGTGACTCCTGAACTGTGAAGCTGAAGTCAACAAACAGGAAATTTTTTGGGTTCCGTAAATTGACAAACATGCAAGTTTCCTTTCTTTTCAATACCAGTGAACACCTTAGAATTCACCGCTTGTATGCGCTTTACTAAACCACACATTCCAACAAAGTACACTTGTCAATATCTCATGTGAGTAGTCCAAGTCGGACTTGTTTGCTTTCTTCTGTCCTATCAAGTATGAGGATACAGCAGTAAAACTGTTTTGTCTCATCACTATGTCTATATAAGATGCAGATGAATCAGAGTTTGCTGACAGATGTGGCAGAGTTTGGCATGTGTGACAGTGACACCACACCTACACTATTATGGCATGTGTGAACATGATTAAATGCACTAACATGCCTCTATATTGCTTCCATTGAAATTATAATACAACTGAATGTACTTCAAAGCAAAGGTTAATTCAAATCAATTCAGATGATTTCAGAGGGTGGAAAGCCACTCCCGGGCATTAAAATGAACACTGATGCCTAGAACCTATTCAGGTGTCACAGGTACATTGTGTACCATCACAATGCGCGGTTCATCTGTTTTGAGGGTATTTGTTACGTGTCCTAGTAGATGTCGTTCTGCAACACACATGCCTTCAGAGAGCATATGAGGGCATTTGCCATCCAGGCGTTGTTTCTCATGTGTGCCTGTGTGTGTTTACAGTACGTGCTTGTGTAACAGTTGTCTGAATTTGTATCACCTGTCATTATAATAGGTGGACAGCAGGCTTTGGATTTCAGAAGAAACAGGTCTGTTCAGGGGTTGCAGATGGTTTCTGGTCTTGGTGGATGGCGACGTAACTGCATAAAAAAAGGTAGACAAAGAACAAGTTTAAGAAACCGCGTAATTAAAGACCTTGAAAATAAGTCACCAAGGTGTTTTATTTTTTTTTAACTAATCAGTTCTAACAGACATTTTACAGTCTGGTGAGATATGAAAATTGTGATTAAAAATTGCATTTAAAACATTTAAAAATATTTTATTTATTATTATAAAATATTTATTTAAATTTAAAAATATATTAGTAAATATTAAAAATAAACTGTAAAAATACATAAATTACAAAATAATAAAATTGATAAAGAACTGAATGAAAAGTAAAAATCTAAAAATTAAAAATGTATAATGTATAAAAATCTATGGCAGCCCTAATTACATCTTTTTAAATCATTTAAATACCTTAAAATATGCACTCTGCATATTAAGCATACTGTGAATGTATTGAAGAGATACACCCTAAAATGTTTTTGTCATTATTTATTCTCTTCATGTCGTAGGCCTACGTTCCAAAGTCATTTAGACTCAAACGAAAATATTTTGTTTTCTTTTTGCACAAGAAAGTCGTACAGGTGTGGAGCAACATTAATAAATTAATAAATGATGACAGAATGTTCTTTTTCAGGGTGAACTATGTAATACAAATGTTACGCGTGCTTCGCATACGCCCCATCCCAGAGTCTTAAACGGCATACTAAACAGTGTTCATAATGTCTTATTTTTCTCTTGTTTTCTCTAGTTCCTTATTGGTTGAGCTGGGGAGATGAAGCTATAAAGTGGAAGGAGGCGGACCCTCCAGGGCTCTCTGCCAGCCACAGTTTGCTCCGCAGCGACATCGCTACGTACCTTTTCTTAGTTTGTAATTTTAGAATAAATTAATAAATGATGACAGAATGTTCTTTTTCAGGGTGAACTATGTAATACAAATGTTACGCGTGGTTCGCATACGCCCCATCCCAGAGTCTTAAACGGCATACTAAACAGTGTTCATAATGTCTTATTTTTCTCTTGTTTTCTCTAGTTCCTTATTGGTTGAGCTGGGGAGACGAAGCTATAAAGTGGAAGGAGGCGGACCCTCCAGGGCTCTCTGCCAGCCACAGTTTGCTCCGCAGCGACATCGCTACGTACCTTTTCTTAGTTTGTAATTTTAGTTTGGAGTGGGGAGTCCCAGCTTGTTTCTATTAGTTTAGCCATTTCTACCTCTGTTGCTGGGCTCCCCGTCTCCTACTTTTGGTTACTTTTGTGAGTAATTTGTGTTAAAATAAAGAATTATTTGGAAGACACCAGCCGTTGTCCATCTATTATGTTATGTGTCCCTTCCGACTCCTAGATCCTTATACAGGGACCGTAACAACAAAGAATGAAGTAAATGACAGACAGTTAGCAAACACAATATTGACTTTCTTTAATTGTTGCGCATTTGGGCGCATCTATCAACACGTCATGTTCCACAAGCATATTTTTAACAGTCGCTTTTTCGGCTCTTTCTGTTCTGCTCAACAGGGATGATCTTCAAAGAACAAATGTCTAAAGATGCCGCACAATAATGTATTGCATCTTAGTTCGCCGGCTTTGTAAGTATCACAAGCGATTAGAAATGAATAGCCTGACGGCACGTCTGGCTCGGCACTTGGCTGAACTGTCTGTCAACTGATACGTCTGAAAAGGAAATACGTCCCCACCCAACAGGGTGGGGTGATTGAGGGAAATGTGCACTATGCTTAAATTAGCATGTCTATCATACAGTATGTCTGTTAAGTTCAAGAGAAAGTCAGTATGTGTATTTTTAAGTATGTATCTGATGTAAGAATGTATATTGAATCAAAATGTGTAAATATGTCTTTCTTGAATCTGAGGCTTAGCACCTAGTTTGTTTCCATATGTCTGGTCTGCAACTCTGTGAAACTATATTACATTGAAAAAAAAATGTTTGCATATTTTTGAAATTACGCAGGTGAATATTGTGTAATCTTAACAGACAATACCTGACTACTAGAGATAAAAAGGTTAACTTTACTAAAAATCTTCTCTATAAAAAGGTTAAAAACATAAATAGATCATATCGTCCTCGTCCTGTAGTTTACTTTTTGTTCATTACGGTAACATTTTATTGTTCTTATGTCATCAAGTAAATAAATTTTTTTTCAATTAAATAAGTTAGCTAAATAAAGTTACTAAATACACACTGCTACACCACAGAAAACACTACTGTCAACACTCACCTTTCCTACATCTCACTTTTAAAAAACAAAATAAACAATCTCTATAAAGATAAAAGAGCAACCTTATATTTAAACACACATTAAAAATGTAATATGATTAGGTTTGTTTGTTTATCACTAATCCTACTGCATGCCAATTTCACTATAGTTTACACTAAGCAAACAATTTGTATATTATTAATTTATACAAAACATATTCAATTATTATATAATAAGGGTCATTCTCAAAATATGCACAGGAGACCAGGGTTATTTTAGTATAATTGAGATAGAAGGGGTGTAATGGTACACAAACATGACGGTTCGGTACGTACCTTGGTTTTGATGTCACGGTTCGGAATGAACCGTTATAAACATAAAATTGCCTTTGTTATAAAACAGTGGTTTAAACAGTGGTTTTGCATTAACTTCTAAATTATAAAATTTCGGAGAAGTTTATACAGAGATCTGTCGCTCCAAATCGGCATTTATTGCTTGAACTTTCTTAAAAAAACTGACATAATTTGAAAAATGAGACTTTGTTTCTTATCAAAATTAACAATATATAAAACGGGAAGTTCCAGTGAAGTTCCACTTTGTGCAGCAGTTAAAACAATGCTGTATTTGTTCGGTACACATGCGTACCGAACCGAAAATTTGAGATACTATTGTAGTTATTATTATTTTGAATAATAAGAATTTTTAGATTTTCTGTGTTCATTTTTATTTGAAAGTTTTACATTTTCCTGTTTTAAAATGTTTTTTTATGTCTATAGTTTTCATTCAGTTTTCGTTTTTGTTATTTTAGTACATCAAGGTAAACTAAATAAAAATCAGAAATGTTGCCTTGGCAAATAGCCAAAATAAAACAAGGTTTTTTATGTCTTATTTTTGGCTGAAGTGTATTTTATTTTAAGTAACAAGTTTTAGTTTTACTGTAATAACCCTCCAAGAGACCTTGCTGAAACACAAATGTGTCTTACTTATTGACTTCCTACAATCCCACAATGCTCTTACCCATTTCATGATACAGGGAGCCTTGTGTTAATGTCACCATCATTTTCTTTGGAGAAGGTTCCTCAATCTTCATGAGCTCATTACAGCACTGTTTCCACTGACCTACATAGAAAAGCACAGGCCGTCAATTAAAAGACAGGTCTTTTTTGTTTTGTTTGAGTGTGAGTGCATACTTTTAAACACCTGAGGACTTAAACAAAGGTTTCAGGGTAAATGTGAAAAATAGACAAACTAGACAGGTCCATGTGTTAACATTTAGAGGATGTAGGCCATAAAAAACATAATTCTTGCACGACATGTAATAAATGCCTAACATGAAAATACCTGAAACACAGCCATTAACAAGGATGCTTTTTAGAGAGGCACTACGTGCTCGTGTCTACATATTTGTGTAAGATATGTATCGAATTTCAAGCATTCAGGAACACTGTATGTTAAACTTCTAAGAAAATCAGAACACCTGTCTCAGTTACTTTTCTTGTGACATACCAAACAGACCACATGCTTTTCAACTCATGGTGACACATAAGCCATGAAACAAGGATATAAGACTGGGTGAAAAAATGCTGAAAAGTACTAACAAAAAAAAAACTCTTGACACATAATAATCTCCGGACATCATTTCGCAGAAACCAAAACCGACTGCACAGAAACCAGTCTGATCAACTGCTTTAACGTATGTGTCGTTATTTTTTCAAAATGTGGCACTTGCGTAACATCTATACTACAAACAGAGATAAAGGTATTATTCAGAACATACACTGTACGCTTTCCAGTTGCCCAAACAAACAATAAATCATATTCGATGTTGTGATTCAGTGCAGAGGAATCCAACTCTTTTGAACATGAATGTGCGAAGGTATGAAATTTCTCAATGTCAAATAAATTTACATATACATTTACATTTATTCATTTAGCAGAGGTTTTTATCCAAAGCGACTTACAATTGGGGAATACATCAAGCGATTCATCTTAAAGAGGCAAATAGACACAGGAATTGCTCATAATACCAAGTTTCAAGCATTGTTCAAATAAGTACAAGCTAGACAGGGAAAGATAATGAAAAGAGAAAAGTTTTTTTTTTTTTTAGGATGAAGTGGTGAGTTTTCAGCTGTCGTTTGAAAATGGTCAGGGAATCAGCATTCCGGATAGGGGTTGGAAGATCATTCCACCAGCCAGGAACGGTGAACGAAAATGTTCTGGAAAGTGATTTTGTGCCTCTCTGTGATGGCGTCGCTCACTAGTAGATCTCAGATTTCTGAAGGGAATGTAGATTCGTAGTAGTGAGTGGAAGGCAGGTGCTGAGCCTGTGGCTGTTCTATATGCAAGTATCAGTATCTTGAACTTGATGCGAGCCGTAACCGGCAGCCAGTGCAGGGAGTGGTTGAAATGAAAGAAAGAGCTGTGTGTCATCAGCAATGGTAGGAGAACCCATGTGCCTGTATGATGGGTCCCAGTGATGTAGTGTATATGGAGAAGAGGAGGGGTCCAAGAATTGATCCCTGAGGAATCCCAGTGACCAGTTGATGAACTTTGGATACCTCCCCACCCCAGGCCACCCTGAAAGACCTACCAGTGAGATAGGATTCTAACCAGCGAAGTGGAATCTCTGTGATGCCTAGTGATGAGGAGTGTGGACAGGAGGATCTGATGATTCACAGTGTCAAAAGTGACAGATCCAGCAAAATAAGAACTGATGATTTGGAAACAGCTTTTGCAATCCGCAAGGCTTCAGTGACTGACAGTAGCACAGTCTCAGTTGAATGGCCACTCCTGAAACCAGATTGGTTAGCATCCAGTTGATTGCTAAGATATAATGATACCTGGTTGAAAACGACTTTCAAGTTCAAGTGTTTTTGCTATGAATGGAAGGAGAGAGACAGGTCTGTAGCTATCTGTAAGTGAAGTGTTTAATGTAGGTTTTTTGAGCAGTGGGGTTACTCGAGCCTGCTTGAATGTAGTGGGGAAGGTGCCTGTGAGGAGAGATGTGTTGATGATGTGTGTGAGTGATGGTAAGAGTGTAGGAGAGATTGCTTGGAGAAGTGTGAGGGGATAGGGTCTAGTGGGCACGTTGTAGGTTGGCAGGAGAGGAGAAGTTTGGATACTTCTGCCTCAGTGAGAACTGACTACTGAACTGACAATTATAAATGATACATAGTGTTGTGGACCCAAGTCTCATTACTTCAAATTTTCTCTGCAAAGGTGGCACAGAAGCGCCTCCAAAGTGGCATTTAGGTTTCTTTGCACAGACTGTTTAATGCTGCGCAGAGGCAGCATAAAATTCATTTACACAGCAAATTGTACTGCTTGGTATTAGGGGCTGAGGTAGTGGCTCTGAGCAGGCATAATTTAGTTTGCCTTTTATGCGACATTATGTCTTTACACTGAATTTTAAACAGCCACAGAGCACCCTTAACATTTACATTGCAAAGATGGCATAGAAGTACTTCTAAAGTGGCATTTAGGCGTCTTTACGCCAGTGTAAATTAGGCGCTAGACTCATCAAAAAAAGCACATAGCCCCTGATATTTTATGATCTCAATAACACGTTTCAGAACATTTTGAATAAGAAAAAAAAAACTTACACGTCAGTCGTACAGTGCCATGACTTCGAAATGTCACATGACATGCTTGATGCATCACCATGGAAATAGGAATGTAAACGCTGATTTTTTTATTTTTGAAATTTGATTTTCTAATCTATAAAATAAATAACTTCGTATGGCAACACATCAAGCGTGTCACATGACAATTTGCAGTTACTGCGCTGTGCATAACAGGTAATTCACAGGATATGAATGTGATTTTAAACCCATCTCTACTTTCTTCATTCTTTTAAAAATAATCACTGTGTCTACTAAAACACTCATTAACATTTTAGCTGATGAATTCAAAGATAAAAAGTCATTTGTCTTGAAAATAAAAGCAGGCTTTGTGAATTCAGCATATTGCTAGTGGGAGAGAATTCTTGTCTTCATTTTTATTCTTTATTGAAACTGAAGTATGTTAACAAATCCACCCTGTTCAAATCAACTGCTGTCAAACCAGAATAAAGAAAGTACTGTACTCTGTGCTTGATTTTTATACAATGTATGTATTGAGTTTTAAAATACAGGTCAAACTGAGGTGATGGCATGTCAGATAAAATACTCAAATAAGGAAAAGTTTGAATATATATCACTTGCAGTGAAAATCCAAACAATAATGTGGTCTTAAAAAATATTACTTTTTTGATTGTTTATAAAATACATTAAATAAATATGAGTCATCTTATAATGCCCAGTGAAAAATAGTAAAAGGATGTGAAGTAGCAACACAAATAAATACCGAAAACACTAGGTTTTACAGTGAATTTATGGCACACTTTACTGCATTTTTAACAAGGTTTTTTCACTATGTAAGCATAATATGCATGTGTTTTTTGGACAACAACAGCATTATCTTTTAACAACAGTTTGTCCATCATGTTACAAAGTGTGTTGGGTAAGCAAGCACTGTTAATCAAGCATAACATTAATGCATTTCAAATGAATGTGGAACTTTCCAGTCTCAGTTGAATGGCCACTCCTGAAACCAGATTGGTTAGCATCCAGTTGATTGCTAAGATATAATGATACCTGGTTGAAAACGACTTTCAAGTTCAAGTGTTTTTGCTATGAATGGAAGGAGAGAGACAGGTCTGTAGCTATCTATAAGTGAAGTGTATAATGTAGGTTTTTTGAGCAGTGGGGTTACTCGAGCCTGCTTGAATGTAGTGGGGAAGGTGCCTGTGAGGAGAGATGTGTTGATGATGTGTGTGAGTGATGGTAAGAGTGTAGGAGAGATTGCTTGGAGAAGTGTGAGGGGATAGGGTCTAGTGGGCACGTTGTAGGTTGGCAGGAGAGGAGAAGTTTGGATACTTCTGCCTCAGTGAGAACTGACTACTGAACTGACAATTATAAATGATACATAGTGTTGTGGACCCAAGTCTCATTACTTCAAATTTTCTCTGCAAAGGTGGCACAGAAGCGCCTCCAAAGTGGCATTTAGGTTTCTTTGCACAGACTGTTTAATGCTGCGCAGAGGCAGCATAAAATTCATTTACACAGCAAATTGTACTGCTTGGTATTAGGGGCTGAGGTAGTGGCTCTGAGCAGGCATAATTTAGTTTGCCTTTTATGCGACATTATGTCTTTACACTGAATTTTAAACAGCCACAGAGCACCCTTAACATTTACATTGCAAAGATGGCATAGAAGTACTTCTAAAGTGGCATTTAGGCGTCTTTACGCCAGTGTAAATTAGGCGCTAGACTCATCAAAAAAAGCACATAGCCCCTGATATTTTATGATCTCAATAACACGTTTCAGAACATTTTGAATAAGAAAAAAAAAACTTACACGTCAGTCGTACAGTGCCATGACTTCGAAATGTCACATGACATGCTTGATGCATCACCATGGAAATAGGAATGTAAACGCTGATTTTTTTATTTTTGAAATTTGATTTTCTAATCTATAAAATAAATAACTTCGTATGGCAACACATCAAGCGTGTCACATGACAATTTGCAGTTACTGCGCTGTGCATAACAGGTAATTCACAGGATATGAATGTGATTTTAAACCCATCTCTACTTTCTTCATTCTTTTAAAAATAATCACTGTGTCTACTAAAACACTCATTAACATTTTAGCTGATGAATTCAAAGATAAAAAGTCATTTGTCTTGAAAATAAAAGCAGGCTTTGTGAATTCAGCATATTGCTAGTGGGAGAGAATTCTTGTCTTCATTTTTATTCTTTATTGAAACTGAAGTATGTTAACAAATCCACCCTGTTCAAATCAACTGCTGTCAAACCAGAATAAAGAAAGTACTGTACTCTGTGCTTGATTTTTATACAATGTATGTATTGAGTTTTAAAATACAGGTCAAACTGAGGTGATGGCATGTCAGATAAAATACTCAAATAAGGAAAAGTTTGAATATATATCACTTGCAGTGAAAATCCAAACAATAATGTGGTCTTAAAAAATATTACTTTTTTGATTGTTTATAAAATACATTAAATAAATATGAGTCATCTTATAATGCCCAGTGAAAAATAGTAAAAGGATGTGAAGTAGCAACACAAATAAATACCGAAAACACTAGGTTTTACAGTGAATTTATGGCACACTTTACTGCATTTTTAACAAGGTTTTTTCACTATGTAAGCATAATATGCATGTGTTTTTTGGACAACAACAGCATTATCTTTTAACAACAGTTTGTCCATCATGTTACAAAGTGTGTTGGGTAAGCAAGCACTGTTAATCAAGCATAACATTAATGCATTTCAAATGAATGTGGAACTTTCAATGATGACTTTCAATGAACTTTTCAATGATGCATTTATCCACAGATAAGTATCTGCTGGTTGTTTGTCAATAATATTATATTTCAATCATGATTAATTCAAAACTTTTTTTGTGGGGGGAACTGCTTCCTTGTAGCACTTAACATGAAATCCTCAATTTCCTTATTCCAGTAATTTTCCACTAAAACCAGTTTATCCGCATCTAATGATACATTATCTCCAAAGATCACTCATTTTAACACATCCACCCACATCTGTCTGTATTTCTGTTTTGTTTAAGAAAGTAACTTAGTTTCAAAGATGCCAGAACCTGTTGAGCGAAGGGTCAATTTCCACGGTTGGCATACTGTCAATAGCTTGTATCTTGTCAAATGCAGCATTTCTGAAGTCATAAATATGGACCAAATGGCATTTTAAATCAAAAGGAAAGTACAAACGTAAATCTTAATCAAGAATCTTAAAATATTACTTTAATATGAATAATTCCATTAAATAATTAATTGGACAATGTTTGACCAATAACTTCACAAAGAATTTATGCTTAACTGCGAAATGGATTGCTGTGGAACAACTTAATTGATTGATAACCCTTATATTATATACCCTTACTGATTTTGTGATAGATAAGTAACACTTCCATTCCTGATCACTCATTGTTGTTAGTATTGCACCCTTTGTTGTATCTCAAGTGGCCTGGGCAGGAATGTAGGCAATGCTGTAATGAATAAGTCTGACATTGTTCTTTGTTTTGCCTAAGATACATTTGAGCTTAAAAAAATCAAATCAAACTATAACACAATACTGGATAAACTGATTTGCTGTGAACCAAAAGAGTCACACCCAGAGTTATTTCGGTTTCCAAATGTAATAAATCTCAGTTATGGGATGGACTAATATTTGGTTGCTTGGCAACGGGGAATTCTTGACATTTGAAAACCTAGCCTTACTAATTTGTCTAAATCATACATGAATATCTGAAGAGGAATAGGCAGAGTTATAAGATAATTAATCGTTCTATCATTCTCTCAGAAGAATAACCGTTGTCAACTTCTGTACATAAATGTACAACCAAAACTATGGGAAGGAAAGCAAAGAAAAAACACCTGCATACACAGCCAAGTAAACACCACCAGAAAATAAAAACTCCTTGAGCTGGAACATTCTGTCAGGTTGACGTCGCTTCTTTTAAATCAGGCGTTGTTGAAATATTTTAAAGACAATATGTGAAAGACATTTTTGGGGGAATGTCAAAATTAACATAGCTGAGTGACAGCTGATTTTATTAGCCGGTGTGACATTAATATTCACAAGCTTCGGCAACATTCCTTGACAAGTGCAAAAACCTCATGCTACATTGACAAAGAGAAAATATTTTCACATCATTCAAACCTTAACAAATGACAAAGGATATTGGCAGGGTATACTGTATGTGACAATACAGTATGTGATCAAGTAGGCGTAACAAGAACAAATCCATATGACTTACTTTCATCTTGTGTTTTGCTCCACAGAACTATTTTAATTTTTGGATGAACTGTTCCTTTCATTATAATCTGGTTTTCTCAAACTAAGTTCAATGCACTTTTTTTTTAATGCATTACAGAACTGGTTTACGTAGGTGAAAACTATTTTAATTAACAATATATTTTATTATCTCTCTGACCTACTTCGGCTCACAATTTACTGTATTGTTATACTTTATTCTAATGTTCTTCATCAGTTCATCTGCTTTTAAAAGCTATTAGGGAAAAATCCAGTTTGATAAGGTTTTTTTTATGTCAGTGAGGACAACACTGTCCTTCAAGCATATCAGTTCCTCATACCCCAAAAATAGTGGTCATGCACATGCAAATATACATGCAAACCTGTGCAATTCTGCATGTTTACTTTTAAGTAATTCTCTTGTTTATCATATCAGAAGATCATCAGAATGACCTTGTTGAACCTTATTCATTTATCACTTTCTCGCAGTCACTGTATACCAATAAAAGTGTCTTGCGTACAAAGAAAGTATTGGCTTACTAAGTCAAAAAAAGCGGTTATGAAAAAAGTTAATAAATCTAGTATAAGCTTTCAGCCTTCCCAGAAATAACAGCAGATTTCACAATAGAAACAGCAAATAAATCAAGCCTAACTGGTCTCAGAACCTGTCGCCAACACACCAGATTTGAAAACAACAAGGCTGGATTCCTTGTAAAGTCACGTGAAAAATTCTTACAAGTGCAATACCTTCAAACTGTCACTTATTTTAACCTGTCATAGGCTTTCTCTCATTTGTGTTTCTGTGGCTCTTCCACCTAAATAAACCAGTTCAGTGTTAGAAATTTTGTACTAGAGCACAAACTATGAAAACAGTAAAACTGCCTCTATGGAGGTAAACTTTATAATTCAAACATCTCCAATGGCCTCTCCATATTAAGCAAATACATAAGACAATATATAATGTGCACTAATGAAACAGAAGGTCATAATATCCTGCACTCATTTTAGTATGGGACACTAAATTATCTACCAAGATAACTAATCTTAACACATCCACCCATATTTGTTAATGTTTCTCTTCTGTACAAGAATGTAACTTGGTTTTGACATTTGAAATCAAAAGGACAGTTTAAAAGTAAATCTCTAGGGGTGTAAATTTAATTTGATTCCTTCTAACGCAACAGAAATCATCTTAAAATATGACCTTTATGTGATTTTATTATTTTTAATTCCATTATATAATCAATTAAGATGGACGGTATTTGAACATTCACAAGTTTAATTGCAAAATGTACTGCTATGGAACGACTGATAATGCTTATATTGTATAACTCTACTGATTTTGTGTTATATAAGTAACACTCCCATTCCTGATCACTCATTCTTTGTTGTATTTCAAGTGGCCTATATGCTCAGGAATGTAGGCAATGCTATGCTGAATAAGTCTGTCATTGTTCTTTGTTTTGCCTTAGATTCATTTGAGGAAGATTCCTTATGAATGCAGTTTAAAGAGTTGCTGAATCAAATTCACAAACTGACAAGCAACAAATAGTGAGTGAACTGATTTTTTTTTTTAACCAAGAGACCATCTGTTTCTTATTTCTTTTTAAATATAATAAATCTCAATTATGGGATGGATGCTTAGTTGCCTAGACAAGTTAGCCTTGCTAATTTGTGTAATACAGTTTCACAAGTTCATATAAAAAAAAATAAAACCAGAATTACAAGGCAACTATTCATTCTGTCATTCCAAGTATAACCAAAACTATGAGGAAAAAAGCAAAGGGGAAAAAGCAATAGAAATACACAGACACAGCCAAGTACACACCCCCAGAAACTGAAAGAATAAATTTTATCCAATGCTACTTTAAGGTTGTGGTTAAGAAAACCAGTCTTATTATGGGAACAGTACTGGTCTGGGATCCCATCTCTGTTTTAGAATTAGGCCTGGACTGGCATCTTTAAGAGTAAGTTCATCTATGACTGCAGCAAACACACGCAGCATATCAGACATGTCAAAAAAGGAGTTTTGTTTTTCGGTCCCTACAATAACGAAATCTGCAAAGACACTGCTATGATTTTTATTTTTTTTGGTTCCGTATAGACATACCAGTGGCTGCACGACAGTTTTTAGGTCAATTGTAGTTCAAACCATTCTGTATTAGAGCTGTCAAATAAACCTAGAAAAATAACACATTAAATGATAGATAGATAGATAGATAGATAGATAGATCTATTTAGATTTTTAACCATTTATGATACTGCTGAAGTGATTTTTTGAAGTGATCTTGTGCATTCTAGGAACTCTGGTACTCACTCATGTCATAGAAATGCTGCCAGAAAGCTTCCATCCAGTTATGCGTGTCTTCAGATGTGTGCGTGACAATTGTGTATGTGGTCTCATCACAACTCTGGTTTGTTATGGTGATACTGTGAGTATGTAGAGCCGGATCTCTCTCTGTGGCACGCACACGGGTCTCCTAAAGCAAGTATGCAATTGGTTTTAAGACCAGGTGTAAATAACAATTACAACTGCACAACAATTCATAGTTTGTAGCACGTGGGATATATGTAATAAACAACTTCCAAAAGCATGTATGCTGTAACACTGGATTTTAAACCACATGCAGCATATCCTCTTACTGGAAAACCTCACATAACACAAATATGATCAAAGACAACTTGGCCCTCTGTTGACTACAAGATGCAACTACAACTGTTCGATAAGACAATACTCCTCACCTTATTAATGGGAATAGTGAACAGTGGTGTCTCTAAAGAATCTGTATCATCTTCCTGCTGGTAACATTTTAAATCTGACCCACTCAGAACACCGTAGACGTCTCTCCAGTCCTCAGGATTGCTCTGGGTACAAAAATATGTGGAAGATGACTGAATAGGTATTTGGGAAATATTGATTATTTATTTTTATTCACAATAATACATTATATTCACAAACCCGAATTCTGAGTTTTCCACACATAACAACTTGAGTCATACAAAGAGGTTGGGCCACGAGGCGACAGCATATGTTACCATAGAGCGGCAACCAGAACGAAGAGCCCTCTAAAATACAGGTGAGAACAAATAAAAGCAAAGTGGAAATGAATCAGAAACAAACATGCTATCATGTGCATAGAAATACGGTGGCTTTTGAGTTAACACATTTTGAAAAATCCAAAAACTTTGTTTATTCCCATAATGAAAATGTTGAATTTAGAATCCCAGACATTGAATTCCATCTTAATTTTCTCAGACCTTTGGACTCGATATGTAAACACAAACTCGCTAGCATACAATAGGCTCTGTTTAAAAAATTGGGAAAAAGTCCTGAATAAAGAGTTTTCTTACCCGTGTCTGATATTGTCAGGTCATGTGTTCGGAAAGAGTTCTGTACGTGACACAGGGTCAGAGATGTGTGGGCCAGGAGGTGATATTTAGGGCCCCTAAGGACAAGAGGTGATATTGAGGGCCTCTGTGAGCACATTTACATTGTACAAAGAAAGTTTTGATGAAACTGCTTTTAGAACATTTAGAACTGACATTAATGCTTTTTTTTTTTTTTAGTTGAAGTACAAAAAAAAAAAATAGCGAGAATGAAACATTGATGCATTTTTAATAAAATGAAAACTTACAATGGAGAAAAAAATGCTCAGGTCATATTTCATCCCAAAATTCTAATATTTTACAAGAAAATACTATATTTAATATTAATACTATATTTTTGAACCATTAAGATTTTAAAAGTTTTTTACTCTATTTTCATGACACCCGTCCACCCAAATTCTAACTGGATTTAGATGTTTTATAATGGAGTTTGTTTGTAATTCATTTTAGGGTCAGTAATGATTCTGTAATGTAATAGTGAAAACTATGCTCTCTCAATAGATATTTTGTTATTGTTATTAAAATTGCGAAAGAATACAGGCAGTAAAATAAATGAAACTATAATGTATAATTGCTTTACAATTTAAAATAATTAAATAATAAGAATGAAAAGATACATTATTTTAAGTGGTGCTTTATTCTCATGAACATAATGACACGGCATATAATTCTTTAAGATAAATAATAGAAAAAAAATCCCCTTGAAATATGAAACATGCTTTTAACTATGAAAAATGACCCAGACATGTTTTTGACAGGCTTCATGAGATTCACCCTAAAAATATGTCATTGGTTTCGACTTTTCTCGCCATCCATCTCTTTAATTTTCTCTGCTGTGCTTTTCTGGCCTTAAGAAAATAAGCAGTCAAGGTGTGTCTGTCTGTACTGACAGTCACTATGGATGCGTTTGTTTCTGTTTGTGAACTAGTTTTGGCAAACATAGCTGAAGTGTGAGACCTTTTCAGCATTTAACACTCTCCCAGTGTCATGTATCTGTTTGTACAACGCTTTGGTATGTGGAATAGTATATATTTTATGCAATGACATATATACTGCTCCCTCACCGTACAGACAGAGCAGGCAGCAGAACCGGTGATTCTCCTCCGGGTGATCCGGCTCCGCTGCTGTGGGAACTGCAGGAAGCTGCTGTCTCTAAAGTTGCCATGAACTTCTTACTGGAGGCACTTCCCAGCCGGCTCAGCCTCAGAGTGGAGAAGCCCATGCTGAATTCCTCCTCCACACAGCAGCTGTAGAGCTCCACCCGCAGGTCAAAGCCTGGAGGTACGTCAGTGCTATGAAGACAGGATATATGGAAAGTGGAATTAAAAAAGAGCTTTATTATTTTACATTAGTTACAGAGATTTTAAAAATAAAATATTTAAAATGTATACACTACTGTTCAAAAGTATGTTTTTTTCAATGTTTCTGAAAACAGTCTCTCATGCTCACCAAGGCTGCATTTATTTGATCAAAAAACTATATTGTGTGTGTACAGTGTGTGTGTGTGTGTATACATACACACACACACACACACAAAACCAGTCAAAAGTTTTTGAACAGTAAGATTTTTAATGTTAAAACATTAAATTCTCTTCTGCTCACCAAGCCTGCATTTATTTGACCCAAAATACAGCAAAAGCAGAAATATTGTGAAATATTTTACTATTTAAAAGAACTGCTTTCTATTTGAGTATATATTAAAATGTAATTTTTTCCTTTGATATCAAAGCTGAATTTTCAGCATCATTACTCCAGTCTTCATAGTCACACGATCCTTCAGAAATCATTCTAATATGCTGATATGCTGTTCAAGAAATTTTTTTAAAATTATTATTATCAATATTTAAAACAGTTGAGTGCATTTTTCAGGATTCTTTGATGAACAGAAAGATCCAAAGATCAGCATTTATCTGAAATGAAAAGCTTTTGTAACATTATACTATTCAAAAGCTTGGAGTCAGTATATATATATGTTTTATATATTTTTTGGATAAATTCTAGTAATTAATACTTTTATTTAGCAAGGATGCTTTAAATTGATCAAAAGTCATAAAGACATTTATAATGTTACAACATATTTCCATTTCAGATAAATGCTCTTCTTCTGAACTTTCTATTCATTAAAGAAACCTGAAAAAAATTCTACTCAGCTGTTTTCAACATAATAATAATAATAATAAATGTTTTTTGAGCAACAAATCAGAATATCAGAATGATTTCTGAAGGATGATGTGACTGGAGTAATGCTGCTAAAAATTCAGCTTTGAAATCACATTTAAAAAAATAGTAAAAGTCTTTAAAGGGGTCATATGATGCGATTTCCATTTTTCCTTTCTCTTTGGAGTGTTACAAGCTCTTGGTGCATAAAGAAGATCTGTAAAGTTGCAAAGACTAAAGTCTCAAATCCAAAGAGTTATTCTTTATAAAAGTTAAGAGTCAGCCACACCTACCTAAAACGGCTCGTTCTAACACGCCCCAACATACCTACGTCGCTCTGTGGGAAGATTTGCATAACGCCGGCCAAATGTTCACGCAAAGAAAGAAGGCTTATTCTCGCTGTAGTTTTGTTGTTGCCGCTGCCGCCATGTCGTGAAGACGCTGTGTGCTTCGTTGTGAAAGCGAAACTACTTTGTTTGGTCTTCCAAAAGAGGACGATATCTGCTTCGTCATGCCTGGAGCTGATCCGTGCTGGTCGCTGAGGAAATACTACAACTTTTCGCTGTCGATCGCCGGATCGGCTTTTAACCGTGGACGAAGTGGAGTCAAGCCCGGAGTCGTCACATGTCCTTCCGTAGTGCTTGTTGTTTGTCACAGCATCACACACAGCGGGCTAGAGTGAGCGGAGGCCGGTGGGATAGAGTGAGCGGAGGCCGGCGGTCTAGAGTGAGCGGAGGCCAGCGGCTAAAGTAAGCTGAGGCCGGCGGGCAGAGTGAGCGGAGGCCGGCGGCCTTGCGGCAACCACATGTGACGACCCCGGGCTGGACTCCGCTTCGTCCACGGTGAAAGCCGATCCGGCGATCCACAGCGCAAAGTTGATGTATTTCCTCAGCGACCAGCACGGATCAGCTCTAGGCATGACGAAGCGGATATCGTCCTCTTTTGGAAGACCAAACAAAGTAGTTTCGCTTTCACAACGAAAAACACAGCGGCCAAGCGTGAGCGGAAGCCCCGGCTTAGCGTGAGCTGAGGCCGGGCAAGAGTGAGCTGAGGCGGCGGGATCGAGAACGGCGGTCCCGGCGGATCCGACGAAGGAGATGTGAAAACGGTGAAAGCCGATCCGGTGATCCACAGCACTAAATTGATGTATTCCCTCAGCGACCAGCACTTTCGCTTTCACAACGAAACACACAGAACACAAACACACTTTACTTAAACAAATTTAAGTAATCAACCACTATAACTAATGAATATGACATGATGAGATATTGACTAAATTTTAAATTGAAATATTTAAAAACTCTAATTTGTAGACCATTTTGGAGAGGACCATTTCCATTTTGTCCATGAATATCAGAGGGATAAAAGAAAGTAAATGAAGAATATCTTACAATATCACTGGTTCATCGAAACACATGTCTGTGAGCGTCCTGTCCACTATTACGAGATCCGTATCGTGAATCTCTGTCCCCACCTGCAGCAAACAGAACACGGCACACCGGTGTAGCTCTGAACAGAGAAAAGAGGTACAGAAAAGGAGAAAATCAGTGAAAATCTGACTGATTTTGTGGTCATACAGATTCTCAGTCAAACTCACCTCCTTTGTTTTTAAAATACTCTGAATCTTTCCACATGAGAGGAATGCGGATATCTGAGGATAAGTCAAGAAAATAGAAAAATAAAAACAGTAACAAATCAAAGCAAATAAATAAGATATAGTATAGTGATATAGTAAGTTGTTGCATTAGTCTCTGTGCGTGTAACCTCACCTGAAATGGCTACTTTTCCAGTACAAGGTAATCGCTTATCAACAGACTCACCATCAGATGACCTAAAAACATTCAATCAATGGATCAGCGGCTCTGTTCCAGACACAGTGAGCTGCCTACAAAGGCAACATTTTAAGTGCACTTACAACAAAACAACTTCAACAGTTGGGCATCATAATTCTGTTATACTTTTATTGTTTGTTTCTATTATTCTGTTATTTTTTTATTGATATTTTTTATTTAATTTATATCTAAATAAAATGTTACTATTTTTCACGCTATATACTGTACGTGTACTATTTTTATTTTGGACTTTTCATAATTGCAAGATATAAAGTCAGAACTGTGAGATATAAAGTCATAACTGCAAGATCACAAAATCACAATTCTGAGAAAGAAAGTAGTCAGAATAGCGAGATGTTAACTTGCAATTGCAATACATAAACTTACAATTCTGAGAAGAAAAGTTGGAATTATGAGATATAAACTTGGAATTGTGAGGGGAAAAAGTCAAAATTGTGAGATAAATAGTTGCAATTACCTTTTTAACTTTTTATTCCATAGTAGAAACAAAAAACAGAATTACGAGAAAAAAGTCCGAATTCTGAGTTCATATCTCACAATTTTAAGTTTATATTTCGCAATTCTATTTTTTTTTTTCAATCCCATGGTGGAAATGAGCTTAATATATGGAAATCATTGGTGAGTTGAGAAAGTTTGTTTTAAGGAGATACTGAGTTGCTATTTACAGAACTCCATTGCTATCTATTCAGTCCAACTCATTATACATCTATACACCAACTCAGTGACTCGATGATCTACCTCCGTCCTGCTCTCAGCATGGCCTGGGCTTCCTTCATGCGCTGCAGCTGGGTCATGAGGGCCAGTATGCGGCTGTTGGATGTGAGGAGAGTCTTGGAAGCTTCCAGAGCCTGATCTCTCTGAGAACACGCAGCTAAAAGCTTACTGGCCCCTTCTCTGATCCTCACCTCTCTCTCGATCCGTCTCTGAACCTCACAGTCCTGCAGAGAGATGAAGAAAGAGCAGTCATATCCTCAGGCTCAGACGATACACCCAGAACCATTCACCCAGAGCCGATCCTCCCTATACGCAAAATACGCAAGCTGCGTAGGGCCCCCTTGCTCACAGATGATTTAATTTTAGTTTCGTTTTTGAATTTGGCCAGCAGTTATGAAAACATGAATGATCATTTCTTTTAATGCGGTGCGCTGTCGCCGAGCCGCGGAAGAGACACTGTTTCTAAAGCGCTTTCCGCGAGCGCGATTCGAGACGAAGTGAAACACGGACAAATGTGTTTCATTCATTCGTTCATAACCACTCATATATATATATATATATATATATGCATGAGCCCCATAAATACATGCGGAAATGCAATTAATTACCTGCGACGCGTAGAAATCAATCTAGTGATAAAAGCAAAGAGTGTATGAAGAATCTTGACAATTTGTAGTTCTCGATAACAAAACGAAAAGTCAAATGGGTTTGATTTCGCTCTTCAGATCGAAAGCAAAACAAGTGAAGGAAACAAGCTCTTGGGTGGAAATCCCCAGTGTGCGTGTGTGTGAGTGTGTGTTGTGCGCTTACTTCGTGTTTACACATCCTACTACGGCCAGGGTTTGGATAAGTAATATTAACGACGTAGCCGAGACGTTCGCAAGCTGATTGGCTGGCATACAGACAACTTCATAAGAGGGCGTGTAGATATAATAAACGTAGGAGGTAGTCAAGGAAAGAACGCCGTCACGGGGAAGGCTTAGCTCATGAATATTAATTACGTTAATTAATTACGCACTGATTGGCTGAGCGGCAGAAAGGTGGGTGGCCGTCAACGAAGGACTCTTTCTATATTTGAGTAGTTTTAAGAATTAGTTTTCTTTTCCAAATGTAACTTGATTGCCTAATACAAATAACACAAATCCATATGTATTACCCCACCCAAAAATATATACATATGATATTGCTCGTAAATATTACGAAAACATAAAATCCAATGCTTTGTTGCTATATTATTGTATATTGTAATTATTTTTATGAACATCACTTGTACCTTATTTTATTATTTTTCCCTTTAACAGCTTTGTTTATTTCGCAATACTACATGTAAAACAACAAAATACTTTGAAATCCACATTTACCGGACGCTCAAGGGAGTTCAACCCGAGCAACGTCTCTGGACCTACTAAATATTTATAAGCTGAGCTTTTGCCATAGTAGTTTTTGCGCTGGTCTGCTCATTGGCTGCAGGCTGAAATGCGAAAGTCGATTTCATTTTCACTTCCTCGTTGTTTCGTTATTGCTTCTTAAAGGCGAAGCAGGCAGAAAGAAACTTAAATTGCAACATGCAAATATGATATCGCACTTTAGTGTTGTTATGTGTGAATAGAAAATTGTTGTCCAAGAGTTTCATGTTTCTGAGACTTCATTTACGCTATATCACATATATGTATATGCAACATTGCATTCATCTTTTGCATGTTTTTATTTAGTGCTCTACTGTTGTGCATATAATACTTCTGTCCATGACTGTAGCTGGTATGACATTTCCAGAAAGATCTTGAGCTGTAGAGATGAGAGAAGCAATGCAAGTTGTTAAAAGCATTCTAGCTGTGCAATTCTATCCTCATTGTGTCTTTACACACACACACACACAGAGAGAGAGAGAGAGAGAGAGAGAGAGAGAGAGAGAAGTAG